GGTCAGGAGAGGTCTGCCACGCCATGTGGTCACCTCCGGGGCAGGTGGGAATCGAACTCATGCTGAAGTGGCTTAGCTTCTCAGTGCTGTGCTTTAACCCGCTGCGCCACCAGGGAGGGCCCGAAAATACTCTCTTTTTTAAAAATACTTTGAGAAATTAAGATGGCACACTAAAAAATCTTCTAAGCCATTGAACCTTCTGGAACTTTTTATTTTGAAACATTTTCACAGCATGTCTTTTGGAGCGCAGCTGTAATAGCAGGAGACAAACTCATAAAATCAAAAATCAGTATGCACATGATAAAAACTCAATAAAGTAAGTATTGGAGCGTTGGGTTGGGCATTTCCCCACATGCCCCTTTATCTGATGCCTTTTATTAGCATGAGGAACATGAATGCCATCACATGACGTTCTGCACTTTGAGGGCAGGTCATCTTCAACAGTCAGCGTCCTATGTGTGCAGACCAGAGCTATCAAATGTGCTCTCTCAGAGGCTGCTGAGTGGCTGCCATCCCTAAAGTCCTGCTGCTAACCCTCCTTGCTGAGGGATCTTCCACCTGGGCTGACCGTCCTCAAGCCTCATGTACCGGACATCACCACATGCCCTTTCTGATCAGCCACACCTTTTCTATATCCTGTGCCATCCAAAATGCTGTTCCTTCAGTACTGGTAGATTATTCTGCTCTGTGAAAAGATGGTGATTGCTGATGGGTTCCTACTTCAGCCTTTCTGTTAATACAGCTATAACTAGTTTTTACTAGTAATCATGTAGTAATGATGAACATGATTGATATTAGTATAAAAAAGTGCCTGGCATATCATAGACATATGTTATATTGACTTCTTATAATTTCCTTTATACCAAGACCATTGTTACTACTCACACTAGCAGTAACTGCATTATTATTACTACTAGTTCAACTCCTACTAAATTCAGCTCTTTGTTCTTTTTAGATATTATCACAAAGACAATCCCAAAAGAAGATATTAAAATTATAGTTATTTTAAGTGCACAAGTTTATTTGGAGCAAATAAGTTATTCACTTTAAAAAAAAAAAAGCCAACTGTGTGTGTAGGTGCTATGTGTATGTATGTGTGCATGTGCTTCTAATACAAAGCATTTTTTAAAAAGTATACAATTTGTGGTTAGGAGTAGAAGTTTTGGTGTTTAACTGTCTGAGTCCAAATTCAACTCCATCATAATTTCTGTGTCCCTTGGTATGTTACTTACCTCCCTGAGTTCCATTTTCCTTATTTATGAAATTATGGTAACTGACACAAAATTATAAAAATTAAAAATGTAAGACTTTTAAAATAAATTGTCAAATTGGTTTCCATAGGGCTTTTATTTCATTTTCATCAACAGTATATGAGTTTTCCAGTTTTCATATAAACATGCCAGCTCTGGGTACTATATATTTCACTTTTTATCTCGCCCAATTTAATGGTTTCTATGCAACAGGGAACAAATCATTTGAATTCTAAGCCTCAGATTCATAACTGGTAAAATTAATCAATAGGTCAAGAATTCAGAAACGTAGGCTTTGGTCATAAAGTTTGTAGTGACTCCAGAGTCTGTGATGCTCAGTATTTGAAGGGTAGTTCAAATGAGAACGTGTATGATGGAGCTGCGTTACCCCAGATGAGGCTGAAGGATGGCTACTGGAGAACAAATCTGTGATCTTGCGATTGTTGGAACAGGACAGTTTTCAGATCTACAGATTTCAATTCAGACAGTGAAGGCGATAACAGCTATCATTTGATTTTGTGTTTATTTTTTATTGCTATTTATCTTGCTAAAGTGCAGAATCCGTGAGTGCAGGAATTTTGTTTTGGTTGCTAATATTTCCTAGCACATATAGCTTAGGGCCTGAAACACAGAGAGGTACAAATAATAAACATCTCCTGAATGAACAGATAAGATCATACCTTGTACTAGTCAACCCTGGTTACTGGCAGAATGGCCTCCTGGGGATGACTGTGGGTAAACTGCCTTGAGTGAGGCTTCTTGCACCAGCCATCAAGACTGTGTCCTTCAGCCTGGGTAAAAGTCTGTTTCCCTGCTAGCAACCACACTCTTCACAGCAATAGTGTGTCTCTCTGCTCAAATCAGTTATATGGTGCATTAATAGTTCAGTTCAGTGGGTGGTATTATTTCCAGGTTCTTAGGGATTGCTCCATTGCTGCCTTCTGCACTACCCAGAACTCCCATCTTTGGGGTGGTTGCAAGTATATTAGGAAATGTGTACTATTTTATAGAATTGTTCACCTAGATAACATGATGTGGCAGTTAATATCTGGGCTCTGGAGCCATAACCCCTTAGTTCAGACTGGACTCCACAACTGAATATTCACAACTGAATAATCTTGAGCAAATGATTCAATTGCACTGACTAGTTTTCTCATCAGTGAAATGCAAACATTAGTGCCCACTTTATTGAGTCAATGTGTGGAGTGAATTCAAACATGAACAAGTAGTACTAATGAGTGGGGCCTACTTTACTTTTTTTTTTTTTAAGATTTATATATATGTGCATACAGAACTAGGGTACGGGCCAGAGGTGCAAGGGGTGAGAAGATTCATCAGAGACAGATTGGGGAGCAGGACAGGCAGATTGACAAAGTACACTGCTGAGGGGAACAGCAGGAGAGACAGGAGAGGTCTGCCACACCGATTGGATCACCTCCTGGGTGGGGATCTAACTTGCACTGAAGTGGCTCAGACTAGCTTGCATGCTGCGTCCAAACTCTTTGCACCACCAGGGAGGACTGGGACATACTTTGATAACTGTTATTAACAGTAATAGTACCACATAGGGAATTTATGGTGTTCCTAAAACTGAATATATATTACTTCAGTGACTTACTAAAACAACTATGTGGGGGCGTCCCTGGTGGCCTAGTTATAAGTCTCAGCACTATCACCCCTATGGCCTGATTCATTCCACAGTCAAGGAACTAACCCACATGTTTCAGCAGACCTCTCCTTTATTACCCACTGCTCCCCTCAGCTGTGTATTTCAATAAATACAACTTTTCTGCTCTCTACTCTGTTTCTGGTGGATCCTCTGGCCTACATTTCAATTCTTCTATGCAATAAATAAATAATAAATAATAAATAAACAAATAAACGCTTTGGTCTGTCTGCTGTTGTTACCCTGCCTCATGAGTAAGGGTATTGAGGCTCAAGAAATTTTAGTAATATAGTTAGTATGTGGTAGAAACTGAATATAAATGCAGGTGTGTCTGAAGTATTCTATCAAGAAGCAGTTTCTCCTAGCAGAATTTGAAATATCTGCTTTATCAGTGACATTATATTCCCTAATTTCTGTTTTCTGATCTTTTTAGCTATGCTCACAAATTTAGAATATTTTTTTCAAAAGCATCAAATGCATGTGCATATTGGGACATTCATTTTTTGATTGATGGTTTTATAACCTCTTAGGACTGTAACAATCACATTGAATTTCACCTGGTTCAGTCCACCAATCTCTATATTTTCTCTGCTAAGCTTTTAGCAAATGAATTAACTAAATAAGTGCCATGTAAAAGCTATAGGATGGCAAAGAATGATCAAAACAGACAATTTACATTCCATAGTGTAAGTTTAATAAAACTTTTCTATCTCATGAAAATGATACCTTTCCTTGCAAGGTCAAAATGTACCCATTTCAGAATTCACTTTCAAAAGTCTGATGTGGTCTCTCTGACCTAATAGAGCCTCTTTACCCAGGTGGCAGTGACCTGATGCCAGCCGTCAAGATTCATCTGCTGTGAATTGACTGGTTGACTGTCCTGTGAGTGGCCAATATCCCTTTCAGGACAGTGACTTGTAATTTTCAGACTTAAAATTTGAACCCTTTCCAGACACCCCCACAGATAAAACATTGAAAACTGAAAAGTAATCCATTTACGGATGTCAACCCAGCCAGTGGGCATGAATTGCTATGTATGCCATACGTGACAAACTCTTTTTTTTTATAATCATGAGACTTTTCTTATTTTCTTTGAAACCTGCTATAATTTTTTTGTAACTTTTTGCCAGGTGAAACTGATAATATTTGGTAAATGTGTCTTTCATAGTCAATGATATAGAAGTGCTCTGAGAACTAGAATGGCCTTGAACTGGTGGAATGAATTTGTGGTAATTTGTTCATGAATCTTTTTCAGAAAGTACTGAATAAGATTGTTAGTGATGGTAGTGTTGGTTTACACAGCATTCAACTTTATGTTTGAAGATCTTATTTTTCCCCAACAGGTTAATTATGTATGGCTTTGTGAAGGCTATGGTATATGCTGGCCAGTTGAAAAATGGAGACTTTCATTTCACAGACTGCTTATTTTTTGGTTCATTGATGTCTGCTACAGATCCAGGTAATTGCTCATATCATGTTTTCTTCTTTTAAGAATTGTACATTTAAATTGAGTACTTTTCTGAAGACATCACTCGCATTTACATAGTGGTAATTCCTCATTTTTCTCTACTTGAGGCTGACATATTTGTTAGTGATTACAAAAATAGGGAAAGAAAAAAAAACTGAATGGTGAATATAATATTAACTCTGAAGAATATGTCTGAAAGCAATTGCAATAATGGAAAAGACTTTTTAAATATCATTATAGTTTATTTCTTTAGAATATATCACCATTTTGAACTATCGTACTAAATTTTTCTCTGTTCAACTTCTGTTGTCTTCTTTCAAGCATTATCTATTTAATTAAATGGTAAAAAATATTTTTCTACATTTTTTGCTATAGATTTTTTTATTCATATTAAAAGTAGGACAGTAATGAGAATTGTGGCATGGCTTTCAGCAATTATCAAATATAGACAATATTCCTGTACATCTCCTCTTATTTTTTTTTCACCCCGGCCCAGAGTATATTAAAACAATTTCCAGACATCAAATCATTTTGTAAATATTTTTAAAAATGTCTTGCCATTATTAAAACTTAAACATATCAATAAGCACTCTTTAATAACAGCAAAATCTCTGTTCAAATACCACTGACTCTCTTGTTTTCATTATCATTTCAGTAGTCTTGCTTTTTGATTAATACTTCATGGTCACAGTGACCATTCTGACATTGTTCTGTGAAATCGTTTATGTTCAAGGAGAACACCAAGGCCCTGTTGACAGTGCCAGGTCAGCTTCTGGGTGAGAGGGGCTGACATTCTTTCTTAGAATGGAATTCTAACAGAAGTATAGGTGGTGACTTGTTATAAATGCAGAATCATAGACTCAACCCCAGGCCTACTGAATCAGATTCCAGAATTTAACAGCATTAAGATTCTTCCACACATTAAAATTTGAAAAGCTTCACATTTTATTGTTCTCCAGCTTGGATTGCTGGCTACTCAGTCCAGTACTCACAGGGGTTTCAAGCTAGTGGTATGAATCTTCTATCTCTTCCTTTACTAGTTGATACTTAACCTATGAAGAAGCACTTTTCTAGAGCAAGTATTTGAGTATTCTATTGTATATTTAACAAGAAGTCAGAGTGAAAATTGTTTCTTTCTAACTATTTACTAATTATTTACCAGTTATTAAACCAATATATTTCCTGCCTTTCTCCACATAGGATAAAAGAGATGGGTCTTTTTGACCAACACATGGATTTAAACATAGTTGATATGTTTCCATCTGCTGTCATTCTTCTGACTGATAATCAAAAAGATTCCATCTTTGATAACAGGGAGTCTCTTCAAGTTTCTCCTCATTCCTTTGTCATGACCACAATGGTCTTTTACAGGTTTTCTTGGTTGGAAAAGGATAAGATGTTTCAACCTTAGTTCTTAATGTTTCCTGCATCCTGACTTTAATTTTGCCATTTCCCCAAGAGTCTTAGTTCTTGCTAAGAGCTAAATTTATTTAAAGACCCAAATCTAGACAGTAGGGGTTTTCATTGCTATTAGATTGGTCATTGTTTCTAAATATTTTTATTGGTTTTGAGGGAAAGAAAATATCACAAATTTATGTTAATAGTTTTGCTTAAATTTAGGATTATTTGAATTGTACTTGTCTTTGAATTTTATGTGCATTTCAATTTTTCTGCCTACTTTTATTCTTATAGTTTTAATATAGTTTTTATTTCTTAACATATATATATATATTTTAAAATCTCATAGTATTAATGAAAATATGACTTGGAAATTGCTTAAGATTTCTATTGTGGTTCTTTTTAACCTTTGGATATATCCAACAAGGGATAAGTGTAAAAAGTTGTGCATTTTTAAAAGCTCTTGAAATAATTACTGTGTGGTTAAGCCACAGTGAATACATAATAATGGTCATTTGTTTCACTTGCCTCTTATTTTTGTTTTTATGTTATATTAAATAGCTACATAATTCTAAAAGGAAAAGCAGAGAACCAAGCAGGAGAAATCTAGCTTCTATCTCTTTCCTTCTACCCTAATTTTTCCAAATATGTTAGTTGGATTATAGTTTTCCCTTTTATTTTTAAATGCAAGCAAATAAACAGACGTGCATAGCCTTCTAGGTATGGAACCTGGTTCTTTAGGTTATTATGAACCCCGTTCTTTATCCTACTCCTCTTTGACTGTATTTGGAGTCTACTCCATAGTCATTTTTAAAGATTTTTTTTCTCGGCCCTCCCTGGTGGCGCAGCGGGTTAAAGCACAGCGGGCTAAAGCCGCTTCCGCATGAGTTCGATTCCCGCCTGCCCCGGAGGAGACCACATGGCATGGCAGACCTCTCCTGGCCCGCCCGCTGCTCCCCTCAGCAGTGTACTTCGTTGATCTGCCTGTTCTGTTCCCCACTCTGTCTCTGGTGAAGCCTCTCACCGCCCCTGAGCCTCTGGCCTGTACCCCAGTTCTGTATGCACAAATAAATAAATCTTAAAAAAAAAAAAAAAGATTTTTTTTCTCATTCTGTTTTTATTTTTTTAATTTAGGTATCATAGGTTTACAATACTTTATATGATTTAGATGTATAGAACCATACATCTTCAGAGGTATATTACCATATCTCCCCCATCACCAAGTCACCCCTACTGTCTACCATATTCTCATTCTCTCTCTCTCTTTTTTTTTAAGATTTATTTATTTATGCACACAGAACTGGGGTACAGGCCAGAGCTGCATGGGCAGTGAGAGGATTCACCAGAGACAGAGTGGAAAGCAGAGCAGGCAGATTGATGAAGTACACTGCTGGGAGGAACAATGGGTGGGTCAGGAGAGGTCTGCCACACCATATGTGCCACCTCTGGGGCTGGGGATCGAACTAGTGCTGAGGTAGCTTTAGCTTCATAGTGTTGTGCTTTAACCTGCTGCACTACCAGAGGGCCACTCATTCTCTTTTATCAGCAGATTATCCATAGTTTATCCAACCATTTGTCTATTAAATTTGAAGTATTTTTTGTGAATTATGCAATTATGCAATTAGCACCTTGAAATTAATGTCTTTTTATATTTTCCCAGCATTCCTTTGACATGGATTTATAGAAACAGGTTGAAATAGTTAAAAGTAAATATGTTGGTCATTTTCCTAGATGCCTTCTTCTTCATAAAATCTGTACAATTTTGCTTCACACCAGTAATATATGATACTACATGTTCTTCACAGTCTTGTCAGTTCAGAGTTCTGTCACAATTCTGGATTTCACTCATATGGTAGGTGAAGATTTATATCTCTTTGAGTATGGCCTAACATTTCTTCATATGTTTAGGAGACACAAGAATTTTTTTTTTTTTCCCTGAATGCCTGTTTTTTACCTATGCCTTTTCCAATACAATGGCTGGCCTTTCACTTCTGAAATTTTAGAGTCCCTTAATATGTTAGGAAAATTAACTATCAGTAAAAAAAAAATGTTATAGTTGCTTCCCTCAGATGTTTATCTGACTTATTTTGCTATGAAGAAGGGTGATTTTTCAAATTGGTGGTATTGACTTGCTTCTGGAAAAGGATGAAATGAAAGTAGATTTCAGATTTGGATTCTGTGATATACATTAGAGGACTAGCACCCAGAGTGGTAAACATAGATATAGAATCCATTTCCAGAGTTGGGGTTGACCTTCTACCAAGTCAAGATTTCATTCTATGTTCTCACAGTCCTCAGGAAAAGGCAGAGGTCCCTTAGAAATCATGGGGAGCCTAGCCTCAGTATGGGTTCTTCTTTTCTACCACAGATGAGGGTTTTGCTTTGCATAACTGAGTTCCATTCAGGTCACCTTTGCACAAATCCACATGTGGAAAAACACTGCATTCATTCATTGCTGACTCTAATGGTTGAGTTTGTTGTATATACTGAGTAAATTCAGCCAGCTCTAAGAACATTTGTGCTGGGTTCAAGTTTTGTTTCTTATTTTTTTTCAAAGATTTATTTATGCATATAGAACTGGGGTATAGGCCAGAGGTACAGGCTGGTACAGGCCTGCAAGCGCAGAGAGAGGATTCACCAGTGACAGAGTAGGTAGCAGAATGGGCAAATTGAAGACATGCACTGCTGATAGTAGCAGTGGGCCAGACAGTAGAGGTCTGCTGTGCCAAATGGATTACCTCAAGGGCCGGGGATCGAACTTGCAATGAAGAAGCTGTGGCTAGCTTGCAGTGCTGTGTCCTAACCCATTGTACCACCAGGCAGGGCCGTTTGTTTCTTAGGACTGGTGATATCCCTGAGGTTATGTTTACAAAACAGAAAAACTGATGAAATACAAAAGACAATCCAACCTGGAATAAATGGTTATCTATCTGTATTGTGTCAAACAACTGAGCTGACTGAATATTTTAAAGTACAGACTTGAATTGCAGCCATAAAATGAATCCGGGGAGAGCACCCATGTAACAGGCCTCACTTTGCCTCTCTAGATGTGTGGGTTCCCGGAAGTGGGAGGCATTTCTTCTCATGTCTTCAAACCCCTTCATTTTACAGATGAAGAAGCTGACTTTTCATCTGTAAAATATACAGTTTCAAGTAGACCCTTTTCTAGATCTGGCATCATGCAGTTCTTATATATGCCCTTTATTTTAAAACAAGAATGTGTTTTAAAGAGAGTTAAAAATCAATCCTCTCCCCGCATCCAGATGTTTCTCTGGTGCTAACCTGACTTGGCAAATGTTAAAGATGATCTCATATACCAGCAACCCTCTCATGAACAGGAATACTTAAGCTCCTTTCTTTTACTGGGAGCTAATTGTTATATTAAAACACTCTGAACCTACACTTTGCTAAATTGGTGCAATTTAAAATCTTCAGTAACCTTAAAACACCTAGTTTCTCGTACCCAACAATTACTCATTTATTGCTTAAATTATTGTGACTCCCTAATTTGTGAAAGAGAACCTATGCCCCCTAGGTCGGATTCTTCTTGGCCTTCTTTAAATTAATTCTTTCCTATTTAGCCTTCGATAAAT